GATATGATTAATAGTCAGTAGAAAACAGAGGTAGTCGAGCTGCCAAGCGAAAAAAGTTGACTTTACCTGTAAGATCACTGATGGTTCTTACTAAATTTGTTCAACAAATCTTTCAGCTTGACAATCCAATCAGTCATCAGAGTTTACACAATTCCAGTTATACTTTTCTTTGCTTTATTAGACCGTAATCATCTGGAAGTGTCGTTAAGCTCTTTTGTAATTATTCTGTGTTATGGTTGCTATTGCATACTTTGGTCTACACGTATATAGGTGTTAGCATACGCATACTCACAAAGGAAAAAATTAAATATAAGTACCCTGATTTATATAAAAGAACTAAGTAAACAATTATGTTTATAGCTCTATCACCATAATTTCCTTTTTAGTTGTGATAATATATGACATGTAGTATTGAGCCAGCTAGTCTTTTGAAAAACGCTAACTTGAAGCTTCAGCAAAAATGTATCTTAAACACTAAACGAAAGCCCAGCCTGTTTTCACCCAAAACGAAGGAGAATGTCTTGTGGAATGCGTCAATCTGAAAGTTGTAGTAAAGCTATACGACTGCAGAGCCATCATTTATGGCAGAGATCGGCCAACGAATCTCTTCATCGTGAACACTTTTCTGCAAAATGAAAAAAGAATATTTCGCGCCATCTCATTGTCTATTTTGTGATTAAAAAGCAGTTTAGTTTAAACATGTTTGAATAAAGTTCAGTGCTATTTGCCCAAAAAATAGATTCATTTCTAAGCCTACGAATAAAAAAGATGCTACTCTAAGAATAACAAATCAGTAGGAAAGATCGATGGCTTAATGTCCTTCTAGTTCCTAGATTAATTAAATGGCGCAAATATGGTTAAGTTTACTAGAAAACCTAGATAAAATTTCTTTGTAATGTAGTCTTCTTTATTTTCAAAGGTTGCGCATATCAAAATTCACAGTTTAAGCCAAACGAAACCTAAGCTATAATTAAACATAACTTTGAAGGAATTCAGGCCTTTATATATATATATATGTAAATAGGTAGATAGATAGAGAGAAAGAGAGAGAAATGCATTACTTGGTGTAGCGAATAAGCAAACATAGGAAAGGAATTAAATTCTAATTACTTACTCCATAACACCTGGGACAAGCAGGGACTCTAAGCCCGAGCCATACCGACTGATTAGCACTGAGCCCAGCGCCTCCTAACTGTACCGGATGACGTAGCCAGGCCCTGAAGAAACTAGCCTCGAATGCTGAAGCTACGTAAGGTAGCCGAGCATCTGGATGAACTGACTTGCACATTTTGATGGCAGACTGAAGTATAAGCAGAAAAAATAAAATAATTAGGCCTTTTACTTGGTTGTGTAAATTTGCCAGATTAGAATTTACATTCGAATATATAAAATAACAGCTTAAAATTACCACGAATTAAATATTTATGGGTGTGTAGCATTAAGCCAAAAAGTGAAAAGATAGTTTTTCTTAAGCTTAACTAGCTATTCTGACGTAAAAATAAAGAAGTAAAAAAAATAAATTCATAAAAAGTAGTTTATCACTATTAATTCTGTAAAAAGTTATGAAGGAAATTTAGCAGTGAATTAATAATAGAATTACGAATTTCCCGAAGACATTAAAAACAGGCGGAACTTCACATTTAGTTACATTGATTTCAATATTTAAAAACTTTCAGCTAGATCGCTTTGACAAAGTATTTTTGTATAATATAAACATCGTGCTAGCCGAAAGGGCCAACTAAGCTGAAAATAGAAATAAGAGTATCGTCGATAACTTTGAACTCAAGGCAAATTAGTACATTTATGATTGCTATTTGCAGATAATTACATTTCAATAAGTATCCCAGGAGACCTCTTTCCTCCAGGCTGTACTGCAGTTCTGATTTCGTCTCATCGTTTCGTCAGCACTCGCAACGAGATTCGGATCGGTGATGTGAGGTTAAACTAGCAAACAGGTAATACGGCCACGTGAAATATCAAAACACAGCTAAGCATCTAAACGCAACAAGGTTCAGGATGAAAGACTTTTTAAATCAACTATGAAAGAATAGCGGTTGCCTAAAAATTGACAACGACTAAATATCATTGAACGCTCCAATCAGATGCGCCTAAACAGCCTACCAGGTTAGATTCTATTTGGCCTAAATTTATTTGCTATATTTGCAGTAACCTATACAAGCATGCAAGTGGCCTTCTAGATTTTGTTTGATTTTTACCTGAGAATAGACAAGGTTATAAGCAAGGGCATACAGATATTCTGTAGAAATACAAGAGAATCGGAACTAAAAACATGGAAATATCAAGATATGAAGAAAAGCTGGGTTTCGAACAATCCTTTAATACAGTGATTACCAAACTGTGCTCCGCGGCGCCCCGGAGAGCCGCAGCTTCTTCACAGGAGGGGCACGAAATATTATAAAAGCTTCATTTTGACAGAATGTGCAGTGATTTGCAGGCTTATTCATCACATTAATTATTCAATATTAATTTAATGTTAATAAAGTATAAAAAAATAATAAAGATACAGGAGTTTTATTTATTTTTTTCTCTTACTTGCGAATAGTCATACTTAGGGTAGGGCGCCATGAAAAAATTTTAATTGAAAACGGGAAAAGTTTGGGAACCGCTGCTTTAGCATATTGATACTGGCATACCTTCCATTTCGTTTGAGGAAGCAGGTGGAGGGGATTCGTAGATTGGCCTCACCGGATGCCGCAGGCTTCTGTTGAATTGTGCGAAGAAGACCTCGACTCGCCATCTTACGACCCCGATGACTTCGTGCTGAGCTTTTGTCTGTCATGTGACGAACATTGCCAGAACCAGAACCCATTATTCACGAAAAAATCGCCAAAAACACTAATCCAAGAAAGGTGGTCAACTGAGATCCTACTTACTTCTTATACTTCACTTTGCGATCTTAATGAGGCATTTCATGATTTGGTTGGCTGTTTTATGTTTGCCCTACACGCATGTAAGCGAGCGAAAGTGATGCCGAAAGGGGAGCGGGTGTGATTGCAACTGTTGTCTAGGTAAATAAACTAGCGTATGATCTTGTAATCCTGGGTCTTGCTAGAGCTTCGTGGATGCGTTTTAGTGTGTGTATGCAACAACCACGAGTTGGTTGGCAATTTAAGGTCCAAATACAGACTTCAGCTTAATCAAGTCTCCTCCTCTTACTCAGTGGCTTTCCTGTTCTCTTTCATTCTCTCTCTCTATCTCTATCTATCTATCTATCCATCTATCTATCTATCTATCTATCTCAGTCTATTTAACAGTTAGTGATAGTTCTTACTTAGTTTCCGGCATTCGTTCCTCTTATTCAGGATGTTATTTGTTTTGTTAATTTCAATAGAATCCCTGATCTACCGCTTAGCTGTGAAGTCCCCATACCCGCAAAACGTTAGGATTTAGACCACTCTATTTCGTGTCTTGTAGCAACCACATGTTCAGCCACTCCCGATTTCTGAAGCCATAAACCTTTGCAGCGGTTCTGTGTTCTGATAGCCTCTTGTGTATGTGTCGACAAGTCTCCCCCACATAAACATTACCACATGAGCACAAGACCTTATAACAACCTGATCTGCAGAGGGCGTCTGATGAGGAGCGAGGAAAGCGTCATTGCTTCTTTGAACATTGTCTTGCCGCTCCATTTGCCAACCAACTCGTGGTTCTTTCATACACACACGAACACGCATCCACGATGAAGTAAGTAGAATCTCTACTGATCACCTTTCTTGGTGTAGGTTTTTTGGTGATCGTTCTGGCTCGAACGATGTCCGTCACATGACGGACGAAAGCTCAGCACGGAGTCATCGGGGTCGTAGGACAATGAATTGAGGTCTTCTTCGCACAATTTAACAGGCAAAAGTCCAAGGTAACCTTCCTTTGGTATCCGGTGACGCCAATATAACGAATCCCTTCCTTCCGCTTTCTCAAATGAAATGAACGGTTTGTCAGTATCATAATTGAAATATTAAAACTCACCTCCCAGGTTACGGATTCACGGGGCCGAACCAGTCTATAGCAAGCAGGCAGAATGTGTTTAAGTTGGGCTGAGGTCCTTCTCTTTTCAGAAAGGACGCTAAGATCTGATCCAGGTAATAGGCCCAAACTAAATCCAGTTTGGCAGGACCAGTTAGCAAAACTCGACCATGCGACTAATTTAGTATCGTTCATATTTTCTCGTTCACTTAGTTGCTGTTTTTGCTCATTTGTCTGAGCTTGGGAATCTGGAGTCTGCGGGTGACCATTTCGTTGATGCGATAACTGCTGGAGCTTCGATAAATAGCCAGAAGTAGGAGTTGCTTGACAGATGGCCTGACGCCTGGTAGAGCTGTTACAAGCTGAATGTATCAATTGGCCATTTGCATAGGGATCTGCTGAATGAAATAGACCCAAGCAGGTCTTTAAAAACATAAAGAAATTTATTATACAAGTTAAAACCATTAAAATTCGACAGCTTACAGTTATGTACCTGTTATTCTTAATATATTCTTATGAAATCCGTTCAAATTTCCTAATTGATTTCGTAAAAGTATAAAATAGGAAGAGCCTCTTCCTTAAAATACAGCTTGAACATTATACACGTAGCAAAAATACATAGTCGCTCAAGCACACATGTGTAGCAAACACGAGTTCCACACTAGTTATTTTTATTCATGCAGCATCTTTTGCTGCTTGATTAAGAGAGTGCAAATGCTCGTACTTAAAGCAAGTACTTATTATGACAGGATAGGACAAAAATGGATTACACAACCACTTCTGTTGATCCTATCAATATAAATCCTTTCGCCACTATAAGACAAAACGAAAACCAATTTAGTAGCGTATATGCCCATAAACTCTGCTGTTTTATTTTAAATGCAGATTAACACATTATGAAGATAAATAATTCATGATATTTGAGCGATTTAATCAAATATATGGGCTAGAGTAGCCATTCACTTTGCTTAGTCGTACGACTATCCGTTCATAATTGTATCAATAGTGTCGATATTTCAGGGCGACGATATTTGAAGCTCCATAAGTCAAGATTTAGAAAAGAAAATTAATTATAGCAGCCAAAACTGAATGAAAGATTAAAGTGTTATTTGAGGAATAGATGGATTTCTCGCGCTCGATGTATTGAACTACTAGTAACTAATTTGACAAGTTTAATTTCGAATGGAACTTCCTGTCGAAAAGACTCGAAGGTAAATCTCACTATTAGGTGATTGTTGATTTCTCTTGTTCTGTAATCATTTGATTTTATTACGACGTTCTAGTTAATGCAGTCCACAAGATATCCTCTCTTGGTTCGGAGTTAAATGGGCTAAGCTTTCGTTTAGCATCGTCAGACATTTTAGAGCTGGAAATAATGCTTGAAAAAGCTCCAAATTGACACTAAATCAACATGACTAGGCGGCTTAGCTTTAAATTCTGTATATGACGAAAAGCTAACCTATGGAGATATCGATAAAAAGATATAGAATAAGTTGGTTAGACCGTTGCTATATTAATCATAGTACTTATATGCTTGAATTGGTATGCGGTTTGACGTATTTATTTAAGTTAGTCAGAATAGGAAAGTATACTCATGACTAAGTAAGTACTATAGAGTCTAGCGTCATCATGGTTTAGTGACCCAAAAAGCATGTAAAGGATTGGGTATCGGGTATTTCTGTCTGCATTGAAGAGCTTAGCACAAGTTATACTCTAACACAAATGTGGCTATAATCACAACAGCAAGGCTATCTTATGAAATTCATTCAAGCACAGTTATGCTTTTATTAAATTAGATATGGGTCTAAAAAGCAAGGACCAAAAGAAGTTTGCGAAGAAACAATGTATTTGTACAAATATGACTTGCCATGACGCCAACGTCGATTGTCAAGCCTTGTTCATAGATACCGGGCGGCAGAAATGTAACTGGAGCACCATCGCTCCAACTGTATGTATCGTTGTCTCCATTAAAACTACGTGAGAGACCTATCCAAGTATACTGGTCCTCCGAAGTAGTTGTCAACAGCAGACCAGAAAGGAAATCTGACTCGATTAGAAATAAAGGATTGATTTTAAATAAATTATTGTGAAATTAAAAGTAAAAGAAATAATTATTGACGCTCAAATACCTTAACGGAATGAAGGTATCCTTTAATTTGTTAAGTTAGAGTTATA